TCAAGAAGCAAAATTAGGAAACACATTCAACACTGTTTGGATACCAAGTCTCAGATCCCAGTGAAGGAATTTTAGCTTATGAAGCCAAACAGAGATGTAAAGCCAGTGATGGGAAGGGTCGGCAGAGCCTTGGCAGATTCAACAGTGGTGTCAGTTATTCTTTAATCTTAACTGTGACATGGCATCTCAAAGAACCATTGGAGATGAAGGCTTCTCCATGGGGGACACACATATGACTGCTGCTGCTAATCATCTCAAGCAAATTCAGTGAAAAGGAAAAAATTAAGTTTGAAAAGGTAAAATGATCTGCTACAGGTCAAGATGTCAAGATGAGAAGTAGAAAAGAAAGTCAAGCCTCCTGTTTCTTTGGCCTTGCTCTTCAACCCAATTCTTCGCCCATTGTCAAAGCCAGGGTACACAGAAAATACACATAAAAAATCTATACATCCTGAATTATCAGCTCAGAGTTAAATCAAGATTCCTTTACTGCACAAACTGAGTATTTCCCACAGGATGATTTTAGCATCTCTCTTCTCCCCATGTGCATCCCTACAGCATGCTGGAACTACAAAAGGAGACTGCTACATTATCCAATACATAAAACTGGTGGTTCCTTTGGTAGCTTTGAGCATTTATGGTAAAATACCAGTGAGAGTTTCTTCCCACCAGTCAGGGAAACTGCTGTGGGGAGTGACTCAGCTGGGACATAGTCCAGAAGGCAACAGGAGATGAGGGGCCCCAATGGCACTTTTCCAGTCTTAATCAGCACTGTCTGCACGGTGATAGAGACTGATAAGCTGCCAGAAGTCATTTCTTTCTATAAGACTTGAAACAGTGGTGCAGAACAGTTGTGATCTTTCTGTGTGTGTATTTTGTTGGGTTTTTTAAAATGTGAAATCAAGGGCTGTAATTTCCCATGGCGGCCAACAAACAATTTTGATAGTTTCATTTTAATCTCCTATAAGTATCTATTTCTCCTCCCTCAACCTTACCCAATTTCCACTCCACTAAGTATTATTTTCTCCAAACAAATCAGACATGCCTGTCTACAATAGCACATTTATCAACAGGGAGGGCTGCGATAGAGAGAAACTATCCCTACTGCACAGAGCATAAGACATTTGGGAATCCTTTCTAATAAAAAGGGATTTGATTAAAGACAGCCAACTACCACAGATCAGCACCTTAATCATCAGTAAAGAAGGAAGAGCAGCTTAGACTTAAAAGACTTTAATTTGCCAATCTGCAAAGGACTTCCCAGGAGCAGTCACTCCACAAGTTACTCCAGAGCCTACAAGGGGGTAGGAGGGGTCATACACCAAGGATTGGGGTGCTTACTATAGTAGTGTGGTCCTAATAAAGTTAAGTTAGGCAGAATACCCAACATGCATGTTTAACTCCTAAAAATTCAGAGGAATTTTTAAAAAACTATTATGCCTAGTGATATTTCCATGCTTAAGCACTGCCTTGCCAATGGCAGCTAGAGGATTTCCCAGAGACTGGATTGTGCTGCTGTGGTAATCCTGGCAAGACAAAGCTTCCAGCTGCGATCTTGCTGCTCCTAAGTGTCTCCAGCACGCTGCTGCTGGCTCCCACCACACTCCCAGGCTCCCCAGGAGGGCAGTGTGATCCATGCTCTGTGGCCAACTGTGTGTTGTGTGAGCAACCCCTGCCTAGAAGAGTTCCCCCAACTCTGAAACCACCTTCAGTGGTTTCACCTGGGAAGCTGCAGAGAGGTGCAGTGAGCACAGACTGGATGGAAGTGTTGGCTGTCCTGTTCCTCAGCTCAGCTCACTGGGTATGCCAGCAGTACCAGACAGCATTTCCAGGGCAAACAGACAACTTTAGTGATTCCTACTCCTCTTCCTTCCCAAAGAACCTTCACCCTGCCCACTGCTGGGCAGATTCTGCTGAGTACAGAACCAAGATGGCTTGATTGAAAACCAGAGATATGGCAAGTGAACTTGCAGAACGAAGTTGGTTACAGAGAAGATCCCAGAGTGCTGGCAGACCAAGTAAAATGACCTTTCTCCAGCCTGACAGTTCAAATGTAATTATTGTAACAAATTATTTTCATGACTTAATATAACGCCTTGCAGCTTTCTTGCAAGGTTAATTAGATTCCTCAATTCAAAACCTATGTGCTCTTAACCAACTTTTAATATGCTGAAATCCAGTTTTCTAAATTCAAACTAATAAAAGTGATTAGCTGACAGCTATCTGGTATGCTACAATTACCATGGCATTTAGACCTTAGGCATAAGATATTTAATGCAAATCAGAGTCAGTGTCTCTGCCCATTTGTCCTTTTTCATATTATTTGATCAATGTGCCATATGAATCCCGTACAGTTCACACTACCATGCTAAACAACTAAAGAACAAGGGCAGAGATATTGGTTGAGACAGTTAACCAAAGTTGAAAGACTCTTTTTTTCCCTCCCACACTTAATTTGTTCTTTCCACATGAGCATGAAGTTACTGAAAGGCACTGGCTGACAGCTCAAGTAGAGATGGGTATTTAGTTCTGACATAGCCAGAATTAGTACAAAACTCCAGGCCTGCACTGCCATATCAGAAAGATTCATCCACTGTGACTCCAGAGACTGAGGGAGGAGCCTGGGCTGGAGCAAATCTAGGAAGATGAGGGCAGCCTACCTCTTTTACTGTACCTAAGCACAAAAAGCAGTTGTACTCCAGAGTTTTGTATTTTGTTAGAAATGTTTCCAGAAGGCTGTATGGGGCACAGCATGCCTAGGGAGCTGAGGAGATGTTCAGCCCAATTCATGGTTCTTTGGCACATCAGGAATGCTAAGCCTCAGAGATGAACTTCAGTGGCACTCAGTGCAATTAGAAAATCAATCAGGTGCAGTTGGTAATTACACATGACCTGCCCAGGGTAGGACTAAGGTTGTTGCTTGATTTTTCCACCGTGCATCATGCATGATTATTCCATCTTTGATTATGCTACTGTTTATATAAATAACACTGGCAAAACTTCTGAGTGCTCTGAAGCCTCCTTTCCATTTTGTCATCTCCTGCTGAATTAAGAGCTATTGGCATGGCATTGGTCTGACCTCCCATCTGATAGCCAAATTGATGACCTAATACTGAGAGACTTTATGTTCCCACCCTTTCAGCTATGCATCCCTTCTGGATGAAGAAACTTTGATGTACCACCCTCTCAAACAGAGCAGAGCAATCTTAGTCATACAATATTAGTCTGCAAAATCCGAGCTTTGCAGCTTCATAAATACAAGTGGTAAACAAAACTAAAGCTTCACTTCAGGAAGCAATTTCCGAGCTGTGAGGAAAATTAATCACTAGAACAGCTTATCAGGGTAGGTGGTTGACTCACCATTGCTCGAAGTTTTTAAGATAAGATTAGATCTTTTTTATTTTTTTAAAGTCATGATTCAATCATGTTTCTGGGAGAAACTGAGAGTAGGACATTTTGCAGTATAATGGCAAGGTCCTTCCTGACCTTGGAGCCTGTGAATCCTGTTTGTTTATCTGCCTACTTTCTTGGGCTAAAAGGAAAACAGGAAAAGTAAATGCGCTTTGGTCCATCAGCAAAGTCCTGCCACATGGTTCTGCATTAAGAAAATTGCTGTAATCAGATCTTGTGCTTCAGGGCTTCAGCCATTTGCCTGAAGAGGGCAAGAAAAGTTTCTACCTCTTGCCTGCCCAGCTAATGGCCAAATACATGCTATGTTTATTTGGTTGTAGCTTCATGTTTAAAACATCAGAATGTGAACCCAAATGGCTATGGGCAGAGATGAAGTCAAAGGCAGCAATACAGAAAATGCTCCCTGGCTATTTTCTATTCAGTTAGCCATTCCTGCTCATACCTCAGATCTCTGATAGTCATCAACTCTGATGACTATCAGTGTTTACAGAGAAGACATTTTGGTTATTAGGACACAGCCCACAGAAGGTAGAAGGTACTGATAGAGAATTGGGACTGATACTAATGCCACCTACAAGGGCAATGTTTGTTTGATGAGCACACCTTAATCTTCTCATATTATCAGATCCTTGCCACTGCAAGATCCTTGTTTGTTAGTGAAACTGTGGTCCCCACCTGCTTTTTGATTAAACAAGACCATGAAAGTTTCCTTAAGCCAGAAATGTTTCGGTCCAACCAAACTCTATAGCAAATAGATCTGGGGGCAATCGAAATGATTTTTTAAGAAATAATGAAATAAAGGAAGATAAGGAACATAAAATGAATGGCCTGCCCCAGTCTTTAACTCTACAAACTACAGCAGTTTGTTTCATAATAACATTACCCAAGCACACAGGCATATCCATCAATAGTGCCCAAGACTCTTGATTTCAGTGCAGAGTTCAGAGGCCTTATCACCTGTGTTTCATGTAAAGGCAAGATATAATTCTACACCTATAGATGCCTAAGATAATTATACCCTATACTTTTAAGAAGGAAATTAGATGCTTATCTTTTTCCAGGTAAGGAAGATGACACCATTATGAACCAATCAGTCCAAATTTGTCATACTTGTATTTGCTGGATCGTGGGTCCCCATGTATAACCAACCTGATTGACTTAAAATGGATTTCCTTTTAATCTGTGCCAGCACACAGAAACTGAAAATCCATGCCTTGGAAGCAGAACATATTTACACTGCCAGATTTTTTTGCAGCTGCAATGAGAAGGGATGGGGCAGGCAGGCACAACAGCAACCGCACCTGAATTCAGACTGGTAGCCTGGAAGCTGGGGACAGATGGTGTGAAAATGAACCAGACACTGAAAAATTCAACTTTATATCCAGTAAGACTATAAACATACAGTGAGCGAGCATGAGATTTATGCTGAAATTACAGAGGAATTCCTATGGATGATTACACTTCCAGCCCAAGCATGGAAAGCACATCCATCAACAGTAGTGTCACTACGTTACCACTGCAGCAGTCAGGCCTCCCACTACTGAACAATGTAAATACAGAAGAGGGCCATGGACACTTGTGACATGGCTCACCAAAGTACTCATCAGAGGGAAGATTCTCCATGTCATACAGCATTTTCTTGGTCAGATGTTCCAGCTCATCCTCAGGCCTGAAGGCAGGTGTGCTTGATGCAGGTCCAGAGCTTGGATACCCACTCTGAAAAAAAAAGAACAGCCTGTGATGTGGTATAAAAGTATTCACACACAGTAGGGGGGTATATTGGCTGTTCAGTGCTGAACTTCATTCTTTGTCTTTTTTTTTTTTTTTTCAGACCCAAGGGATGCAAGCAAGTAAACACCTAACTTCATGTAATGAAAACAAACTCTGAAGAACAGCCAGTGAAGTTATATATCCTCTATATATCCTCCTAGAATGGGAAGTATCCTGTGCCCTATAATTAGATGTCTACTGGGTAGAACATAATAATAAATAAAGCAGAAGATTATTCCAAGAATAACTTGATACAATCATTCTCCAAAACTGAAAAAGGCTTTGGAAGCATTTAAGTTTGGACTTGGTAAAAGTTTCCATCACTTAACAACACAACATAAAAGACAATTGTACAGTGGTAGAGCATATGGACAAAGACAGATAACCCCAAGCTGTTAGTTATGTTCTCTTTTTCTTTGTTTCGACACAAATCCTGCTGTTAACATTAGTGAGATCAAGAGCTGGTCTAAATATTTTTGCTACTAGAGATACAAAGGTTTTAATACGTGTGTAGAAACTCAGATGTCTTGGCCTTCATAAGCTAACAGCTGCATACAGTATTTGCAGCCTGTCTCAGAGAGTCTCCTCCCTGGAAAACACCCAAAGTATGGCATATTTTGAGAAACACAGAAATAGTCTTATGCCTAGAAGTTTCTTAGAAAGTTTCTAAGTATGGTGTCCATAAGGAGAAACTCGGTCATTTCAGGATTAAAAGATGCTGACACCAGCTCTCCTTGTGTGCACTGCTTTCTTCAAAGACTTGCATATGAAAACTAACTTATTTATAAAACACATAATTTTAGTAAAGCAAATTATTTCATTGATTAATTGCTGCCTACATCAAGGATTGGACCTTTGATATGAAACAAGGAAACATTTTTTCCATGCTCCATAACTACTTAAATGGCAAGAAAATGTAAAATCACTGGAGAAACAATACACTGACCACTTCTAGGGACTACCTCTGTCATGATGAATCTTTATTGAGCCAGTGATGTTCAACAGAGAACAGCAGCTTTAAAGCACTGCACTTCAAGAGAATTAACTAGATGCTTCCATGCTTTTTTCTTTCAGGAAAGAAGGAGATTTCAAATGAGACATCAATCAATGTAGAGATGGCCTCAGAACAGCACTTTGCGATAAAACTTCAACAATCCACTCCCAAAACCCAAACACCTGCATCATGTTCCTGTCTCCATCACACTTTTCTAGGGTCCATGCTAAGCTGTACCATCAGCCTTCTCACTTGGCCTCAGCAGGTGCCTGTACTCCCTGGAAGGGCTGGATTTGCTGTGCACACACTCAGTACAGCCGCTGCCCCCACTGCCTGCCTAAAATCCACACTGCAGCAGAGTAGCAGCAGTTCAGAAAGGAGAGGGGTGGCATGGTCCCCTAGGGAAAAAAGTGTACCTGGAATAAGCCCCAGGCTGGATGAATTTCCCTGAAGGGCTGTGCAAAGTCTGTTTGCCACACATTTAGCCTCCTTGACTGAGAACATGGATTGGACCTAACTTACATTCAGATTTTCCCACGGATGTTTTCTTTTTTCTTTGCTTATGAATTTTTTTCTGAACAATATTTAAAGATTTTGTGCACTTCTCCAGGAATTCTAGTTGTCTAGCAGTTGTCCTGAGGAAGCTGTTGAGTATCTGGAAATGTTGAATGTCCACATACAGAGCAGTAAACTTTTTTGTACAAATGCAACCATACTGATGTGTTTGGGTTACCACAATTTACTTTTTCACATGGGGAGGCAGACAGTATGGTGCACCTGCATTTGCCTTCTAAATCACATAAGTGTCATCTCTGTGAGATACATAATTTTGGTATGGATAAGGCCATTTGTATGACTAGAAGTCCTAGAAGGAGGTATTTGACACAGAACACCCAGACTCCCTTGGCCAGAGCTTTGTGGCTATTTTTAGAAGGACTAGTCTACATCTACTTCTTTAGAAATAATATATAGCACAATCCTAAAAAATAAAAATAAAAAACTCAAATATTCTACATAAGTCAATGTAAGACACTTAATCTTGGAAAAACCTGGTTTTTCCCTTTGCTCTCTTGTTCCTAAGAGCTGATCACAAATCTTGCCTGAACATATATTTTAACACAATAAGTGTAGCCAAGGATTTATTAACTTGAGAAATCATTCTGATAACTGAGCTTCTATTCCAGTTATTGTACCTATTTCAATTTCCATGCAGAAAAAATGACCACTGCCATTCCATCAACAGAGACTCCTTTCCTAGACTTTGCAGGGAGAAGACAGCACAGTCTGAAGCTGATGATGGTTCCCATCCCTGTATTTCCTGTTAGTCATCACCAGCCTCTTCTGCTGGGCTCTGTACACACACTCTCTCAAACACTGCCTTTACCCTTGGGCCCTGTAATAGAAATGGACCAAAACAGAAGGCACAAGCCACAGTCTGTTCACAGAAAAGAGCAGTGAGATACATGGAGCTGAAGCAACTTGCCCAGAATGACACGTGGGCTCTAAGGCAAAGATAAATCCTGCATCCAGGCTGCTGGGAGCCCTACACCTCCCAGCACACAGCCCACTGGGGCTGTACCTGGCATTGCAGACCTACACTGAACACTGCAACCCAAAGCCACTGCACCTGCAGGCCACCACAGCCAGGCTTTGGCAGGAGGTGAGTGAAGCCTCTCCCTCTTTTCCATGCTTGCTTCACACACCTCCTGACTGGGGAGCCCTCCATAACTAACTCATAAGGACTTGGACTAGGTCCTTTAAAATTGAAGACCAAAATCTGCAGATTTTTAGTTTTGTCTGTCTCTCTCTGGTTTTGGAGGCCACACTGCCTCATACACACAAAAAATAGGCTGCTCTTGTATTTTATCTACACTGCACTTTTCCAAACCAGGCAGATTTCCTATCCAGCACCCAATGTCAGCAGAAATAACAAATACAAACCACAATGTTATGAGACACTTTAACTTATTTTAACTAAAATGCTATGCCTTTTTGACCAGCATTTAGTGTATGTGTGTGTAGCACTACCACCAGTAGTGCTAGGCACATGTTCTTCCTCCTCCCACGGCACATGCTGACTATGTGCCTCCAGGAAAATGCATTTCATGCATATGAACGTGCTGTTTGCTGGGGCATGAATACATACAAACACAAAGAGGCAAGTGTATCCTTAGTCCAATATAAAATGCTTGTTTCAGCAAAACAGTTTCCTTCCTCCTCCTTTGTTAGGTCAGGGTAAAAATATAACTCTGGCTTTCCTTACAAAACAGAGTTGTGGTGTTGTTGTTTATACTGAACTTCCTCTATTTTCTCCTGATCTGTACAATAATCAAGGCTGTCTAGAAATCCAATTTGCTGTCTGATCTACCAGTTAACTTCACACATTCTCTTTTCTCCATGACGCCTCAATGCACACAAATATCCACTCCCTTAGCTAGACATAGCTCAAAGAAAGGGACTGCATTGACTTGCAGACCCTGAGCACCACTCTGTCTGGCTTACCACAGAAGCATCAGGGATGATAAACTGACCCACGAAAATGGAGAAAAGCTCAGCAAAAAGCTGGCAGGAGTGACTATGCTTTGGAAGCACAGGCACCTGAGTGCCTCCTTTGCCATCAAACAGCGAGCCACTTGAGGAAAGAGAAGATTGCAGGAGCAAGCTGAGGAAGAGGAGAGGATTGCAGTAGCATGTGTAGATGCAGAAGCATTCCTAAATAAACACTGTCCTGCATACTTAGTTGGGATATTAAGGAAAACACCAGCATTTCCAGGGTTAAGCCCTGTAGCAGAAAGTATCTTCATGTTACAAAGGAAATGAACTAATTGCTTGTGTCACTATCAAAATGCTGCAACAACATCTGGCTCATCTTCCTTATTAAAGTTCAGTTCCTGAAAAGCCAGGTCAAAAGAAGCAGTCGTGTGGAATCACTGCATAATTATTTTGGTACACAAAGCTGATACTTCTTTCAGTGTTTCCCTGGCACATGTTTTCTACTCCAGACCTGCCTCAGATGTAAGGGCTGCCCAGAAAAGGGATCTCTGCAGTCAGTGTGGTTCATTGACCAAGAACTTTTCCCATCCCCACAAAAGACTTTATCCATATGGGTAATAACTGCAGTGCAAACTCTGCAAAGATATCTGAAGATGATACTGTGATTAAGGCACCACCATTCAGAATACACTGCATGTGGTCATTTTTCTTGTCCATTTGCAAACATTGTAGAAGAAGCTGCTTCTCTCTGGAAGAAAATAACTTCAATTATGTGTTTTCAGTTACAGAAACGTGGAAATGATCTTCTTTTCAGAAGGTAGAATTAGCTGAATATGGAATTGAAAGGCAGCCAGAAACATCTTTCACTGATAGTTACTTTCTCTTCATTTTTTTCCTCCTGCTTCAACTGCATAAAGTTAGTCCTTTCACTTCACTCACCAAAACTAATTGCCAGTTAAAAAGTAAGGCAGCACAATTTTTCTTGTTCAATGGTTTGACAAAGACCACATTTTTAAAAGAAATTACTGACTGTCCAAAACAATCACAAACTTTCAGAGCAAGAAATCCAGCATAGTGCCATATCTCTCATGAGTTGTGCTCCCAAGGAAGTATCAAGATTGCCTGCAGCTGTAATTCAGTTTATAATTAAGGCCAACTCTTACAGAGGAGATGCATTAGAAAAAAATATTTTTATTCTTGATTTATTTTCCCAGTGAAAGGTTACAGCTGCCAGAGTACATAAAGATTCCTGAAAAGAGGATTCTGCCTGGAATCTTTGCAAGCATGCACGTTCCTGGGTTTACTCCTGGTCAGAGGAGAGCTCATCCAGATCCTCTGAAGAAGCTGCCCTGCATGAGGAGATACCCACTGACAGCCAGTGCCCTCCAGCCCACTCCAGAAGACCAAAATTTCAAGTGTTGGGCTACCAGGAGAGAGGGCTCTTCTGGGACATGCCAGA